CTATTAGTGACGATGGAGGATGGAAGCACCACTGCGAGTCCTGCAGCCGCTCTGTGTTAGGTGCTGTAACACCTAACACAACATGTGGTCCCTGTTGGAACAGTTACAGGCCACAAAGGTCTGTAATATATTTTCCATAATCTAATATATTTTCTGAAGAGTACAGGAGGTAAGTTGCTCTCCCTGCTGCCTTGTGCCCTCTCCTGCCTCTCCAGCTTGGTCCCAGACCCTCCCTGGGCACGGAGCTCTGCAGGGTGAGTTGCACCCATGGAGGGTTGGACGAGGCATTTTCTAGGCAACAGCAGCTCTGGCAGAAATATTGCATCTCTTGTTACCACCATCCACACGAGAATAAATACCAGGGTCCCTTCCTGTGAGCACGTGAGGGGAGGCAGGGAGAGACCCAGCTCCTCCTTGAAAACAGAAAACAGCGGAAATACAGTTCAGTTTTTCCAGCAATTAGCTCTGCAGGGATCTCTGTAAGGAGGTCTCTGGTCTCACCTCCTTTCCTCTCGGTGGAAAACTATTTCCCTATAATGATACTACCTTAGCCTTCCAAATTTAATTACCAAGTAATTATACCTCACGTACAGTGGCTTGGTCCTGGCAAGGGCTGAGTCTCACCAGGAGGTATATGAGACCAAGGAAGATGTCTTCTCCGTGCACTGAAGGGGAATCCCCAACTCTGCATCTCTAATGGGGAAAACCCAAAACCGAGGTGAAGCCCCACAATGGTGCAGTGTGCAACCCTGAGCCTGGGGACGTCATTGCCACAGGTTATCCTGTGGTCCCGTTCCCAAATATGTTTAACTGAAGAATGGGGAAGCGATGACACTGAGGAAGATGCTTTCTTTTTGGCACATCCAGCACTAAGAAGTATTTGCCGATAAGCTGATAATCAGGTGGCCTGGCCACCCCTGGTACGTTAGACCTTGCTGCTTAGAGAATATTTGATCATACAGTATCTCCATTAGGAGTTTGTAATCCGCTATCACGGCATTTGAGAGCCATTTGAGTATAAGGAGATTTTTATTAATGGTTCATGAGCCTAAAAGTCAAAATTGACTCTCAGAGCAGATTTTAACAGCTTGTGCGGCATTTATATGTTTATCTATCTCTTCATTCACCTCTTCTCCCAACCGCCATCACCTCCCTCCGCTCTGCCCCGATGCAGAGATGCAGCAGCAGTAACAGCAGCAGTGGCACACTGGGCAGCCCCAGCAGCTGGATCTGCCGAAGGGCATCCCTCCTTCCCTTCTGTCTTTTTCTGTCTTCCCTCTTCCTTCCTTCTTCTTTCCCTCTTCTTTCCCTCTTCTTTCCCTCTTCTTTCCCTCTTCTTTCCCTCTTCTTTCCCTCTTCTTTCCCTCTTCTTTCCCTCTTCTTTCCCTCTTCTTTCCCTCTTCTTTCCCTCTTCTTTCCCTCTTCTTTCCCTCTTCTTTCCCTCTTCTTTCCCTCTTCTTTCCCTCTTCTTTCCCTCTTCTTTCCCTCTTCTTTCCCTCTTCTTTCCCTCTTCTTTCCCTCTTCTTTCCCTCTTCTTTCCCTCTTCTTTCCCTCTTCTTTCCCTCTTCTTTCCCTCTTCTTTCCCTCTTCTTTCCCTCTTCTTTCCCTTCCCTTCCCTTCCCTTCCCTTCCCTTCCCTTCCCTTCCCTTCCCTTCCCTT